CAAAGAGATGAGTGAAAGCAAAGTTTATTAGAGACAGAAAAGTAGCAAAGCTCTCTGCTGCAGAGAGGGGTCCCCAGGGGGTGGCCGCTGAACCTTCTTTGTTTAAGTCTATTAACTTCCTTTTAGTAGGTTCAGAGAACTCTGCCCTAACAACACCCATACATTTTAAACTTTAGAGTCCCCGCTTAAATTTCCCACCCGGTGTTTCAGCCCGGGACCAGGGCCCCTTGTTCCTGCCACTTCACAGAGTACAGGGTGTGGCTGACGAACTGGTTTCTGCTCACGCCCGCAGGGTCCAGCTGCATTTTCCCTTTTCATTTCACTCCCCATGGTCCCGCTCATAACTGCCTAGCCGCCCCTAACTATTCACTGGGCTGTTGGGAACATGTGACTTCTCCTCTGCTACCCCATGACTTCCTTAAGGAATTCCTTAGGAATTTCACATTACACCTTATTCCCTTTGGAGCTCATAAATGCCTAGCATTAAATTGAAGTTTGATTTGAAAACTTCAAATCATTAGATGAGGAATCATCTAATCAAAATAAGACATGGACCAACTACAATAAATTAGAAGGGGCTCCCTCAAGTCCTACTCTGGAAAGTCCTGTAGGTGAAGGCCAAGCTCATAGGAAAGACTATTGTAATAAATCAGTGGTTCCCATGGCTCCGTGGGTGAAGGGAGACAGGTACGTGTGCTCAGCTCGCAGCCTCTAGATTGACTTTTCCTACTCACTACGCCTGCCAATTCTTGAACAGTGGTACTGGCTTAGTGAGGAACAGCCTCCTCTGTCTACTCAGACAAACCTAAGTGCTAGAGAAGAAAACATGAAATAAACCCAACTCTTCTCTTTATTGTTTAATCCAACTATATAAGAATTGCCAAAATGCTAATCATACAGAAACATATGAGAAGTATCACTGGCAGCAAGGTATAAAGAACCATAACAGCCAAACACAATTTGGTGCCTCTTCTATTTTCAGTCTTAGATACTCTGTGCTTAATTTGCTCTGTTTTTAGGACTATTCTCCAAGCTGAGTAATAACTGACTTTAGCTTATCCCCAGATCTTATTTGGAGCTGGCGTTGAGGCAGAATTGCTGTACACATAGGTTCTGGTACCAAATTGGACTGCAGAGCAGCTGAGGTGAGCTTTAGAGCTTGTCACAAACCTACGACAGGCTCCAAGCAGATGGCACCAGCATTTGAATTGTCTCCAAACCTCTCCACCTCTTTGCTTTATCACTTAGTTTCTTCCTTCTAGTTCATAGCACATAGCTTTTACCTCCATATCTTCATGTTCAACTTGTCGTAACCACAAATATAATTCTTCCCAATCAGAATCAAAATATGAGGTAGGGGTGGGGGTCACAACGAATCTAACTTCTGCCCAACATGGCCTTTAATTCAGTGGCACCCACCCTCCATTAGAATCTTCAAGACTATGTGAAACATGTGCTGATCATATCACCTACTTCCTTTTGACTCTTGCAAACATTTACCATTTTATATAGAAAAAAATTGATTAAGAGTTGATAAGCCACAAACTGAGATGAAAATATTTGAAAAACACATATTTGATCATAGTTGTGGCCCCCCACCAAAAGAAAATCTCTTAAAATTCAAGTATCTACATTATAGATACCTGTGGCCATAACACCGTAACGCCATAACAACCAGTCACCAGGAGGTGCTTGGAGCACCTCTCGGTCCCTCCCTCCCCCGGCCCGCAAGCCGCTCACGGCTGTGGGGCAGGGCTCTCAGCTCACGCAGCGCGGTCCACAGGCTCCGATCACAGCAAGGCTGGCGGCCATCGGGTGGGTGCAGTGAGGCAGGGTGGCAAGGCACAGGCAGGTGGGCGGGGCCACACGATTTCGTGCACTGGGCTTCTAGTAAGCAAATAAACAGACACACTGGCAATGCCAAATTCTGGCCAGGATATGGAGCAACAGAAATTCTCATTCATTACTGGTAGGGACACAAAATGGAACAGCCACTCTGGAAGAGAGTTTGGCAGTTTCTTACAAAATTCAACATACACTTACTATATGATCTAGCAATCACATTCCTAAGTATTTACTCAGTTGAGCTGAAAACTTATGTCTACACAAAAAGCCTGTACAGGAATGTTTATAGCAACTTTATTCGTAATTGCCAAAACTTGGAAGCAACCAAGATGCCCATCCATAGGTGAATGGATAAATAAATTGTGGTATATCCATAAAATAAAATATTCAGCAATAAAAATAAATGAGCTATCAAGCTACAAAAAGACATGGAAGAATCTTAAATGTATATTACTAAGTGAAAGAAATCAGTCTGAAGAGACTACATCTGTATGATTCCTACCATATGCTATTCTGGAAAAGGCAAGTGGGTAAAGGTTATGAATAGGTTATTTCAGAAGAGAAAACATACAAAAATGACTAGCCTTTAATAAGATGCTCAAAGTTATTGGTGATCACCCAAATGCAACTTAACACAATGCAACACAATTTTGCATGTATTACACTGGAACAGTAAGAGGGCTGGGAAGTACCGAGTATTGGCAGGAAAGTGGGGTGTTGGTAGGTATAGATGGGTGCTGCTCTTCCAGAGCTTAGTCTGGTGCAATATAGCCAAAAGATATGCATATCCTGTGGCCCTGAAATTCTCTATCCCAAGGTGATGTTTACTCAGAAAATTCCCACACAGTCCACAAGATTGTCCAAGGGCTGTTCACGCTGGCGAGGAGCTGAAGACAACCTGGATGTTCATCACTGGGAAATGGATTTAAAAGTAATTGTGGTAGTTGCACCCATGGAGCAGTATGCTCCCATTGCCAGCTGTTGCAAGCAAGGGCCAGATGTATCCATAGCACCACATGGATAGATCTTAAAAACACAGTGCTTATGGAAAAAACATTAGGGAACATGAAATATATAACATAGAACCGTGTATGTAAATATAAAATTCATGTACAGAAAATAAGAACACATTTTCAAGAGCATTTCTTAAAAGGAAAGAAAAGGAATAAAAGGGGTATTCCATGGACCAGTGTGATGACTTGGCATGAACGGAGGAGAAGGATTAGCTTAATCCTCTGCACCTGAGCTCACAACAGTAACATTGAATGACTGGCCTTTTACAAGTTAGATTTTTAAAAACCTCTGAATTCAAGTCCTTTGTCCCTTGTTAAGTTTCCAACCTTTTTCTTGCAAGACAACAAAAGAAGATACTTGGGATAAAAGAGCATAGATCCACATCCTGGCCAATTACATGGTGATTCTCAAAGCCCCTTCCCATGTGACATGGCAGTACCTCAGTGGTCCCTTCTTAAGATGAGATGAGGGTGGGGGCATAACCCAAAGAACCTGATGTTCTTAGTCTTTCCTACTTATCAGGTATGCAAGGTGCTTTAGGAAGCTATGTTGTGCAATCTTCACAGAGGGAGGTACATAGTATGATGCCCATTTTGCAGAGGCGGTAATTAAAGCTCTGGGCAGTTCGGTGACTTGCTCAAGGTCTACAGTAAGAAGCAGTAACTTGAAACCAGGATTTTGTGCTGTCTCCACTGCACCATACTGAAAGCTGTTGGAAGGCAGAAAGGCCTAGCTGCTTATTTTGAATCCAGGCACTGGGTACCTATGAAGAACTTGAGGGCCAAGTTGCAGCCACCATGACAGCAGGAAGCCCAGAGGTGGCCTCTCCATCTTCTCCTTCCTGGGCAATGCAGGGTAGAAGTGGGCGGGGGGGGAAGCGCGGGGGGGGGCGTTGGGGGGGGGGAGAACCACCTGCATGGTTTTCCCTGAAGGACTTGGCAGTTTTATCCAATTCTGAGACACCGTGTGCTGGGTTCCTTGTGTTGAGCTCTGGCTGACTCTACCAATGCCTTGGACTTCTTTCTTTGGCTTCTGTGTGCTCTCTTTCCATGGCAAACTCCTGAAGGGCAGAGACAATGGGCACTCTCGCCATACAACCCAAGCAACCCACACAACAAAGAGGAGATGTCTGTGTATTAACTATGTCCCGACTGAATTAAACGCAATGTTACGTTCATTAGACTAGTTTGGTGGACCTCTTGGTTTGAAAGTGATTTGTGTCTGCCTGAAAGTGAGGTTGTGAAAAATTAAAAATCATAATTAAAAAGGCACTGTGCCTCATAGCAGTCTATCTACAGGTGATTCACCATAGCATCCCTGGTGAATGTGGCCAGAGTGGACACACAATATGAGCCAATAGAGTTGGGGCTGGCCTCCAAATGCATTAGAATCCCACAGTCAAGAGGGATTATAAGAGCCCCCTTGGCTTCTGAGAGATATCACCAAGACAATGGTGAACAGTATGATCCTCGGAGTCCAGATGGCCCTAGGTCCAAATCCCAGCTGGACCTCTAGTGTAGGACTTTGAGCAAGTATCTTGAGCTCTTTAAGCCTTAGTTTCATAATCTGCAAATGGGGATAATAACGCATTCCTCATAGGATTGTTGTGAGGATGCATGGTAATTGTGAATGGAAAGTATATAACAGAGTACTTGGAACACACTAAGCACACGATTATGTTCACTATTTTTGTGGTTAGAATTATGGATAAATATCTCCAAGAGTGGAGTCTCCCTTGGGAATGTAACCAAAATCCCAGCAAAGTAGAACAAGCTTGATAACCTCTGTTTAAGTGAGCAGAAAGCACAGTGACTTGCACAGGGTCTCAGCTGAACACACAGAAGAATCAGTTGCAGTTCATCTTTAACTCATTCACACGTTGAAATGTTTAACTTAAATAGGAAATACTTTTGTATGTTAAGTTTTCTTAGCATTTTTTTTCTTGAGAATGTTTTTTAACAGCAGTTTGGAATAGTATGTTCTTAGAGTTAGAAAGGAATGTTCACAGAAGTCACACAGCCAGACCTTTTCCAATTTGGGAAATCTTTTTTACAAGCATCTCCCCAGCTCCGCCCCTGGTAAATAATGAATCAAGTTCTGCTCAAGTAATTGCAGCTACAGGGAATTTGTGGCTATGGAAGATGACTCTTGAAAGTTACTGCAGTCCTCCTCATAGTCAGCTCTTTCTCTTTAAAACCATCAGCATCTACATCAAAAGTCTGTACTTGGTGGACAATACTCTAGGTCCCATGAGAACTGAGTCCGCGTTGCTGGTTCATTGCCACATCCACAGTGTCTTGGCACCTAAGAGACAGCAAGAGATATTTGTTGGAGGATGGATGAATGGATGAGTGGATGAGTGGATAGGTGGATGGGATGCCTTCTTTGGCTATAGAATAAGTTATACATATATTCCCCCATCATCCTGAGTTGAAGGCATGCAATAATGCACTTTGTATCTAAATTGAAGATTTGGGGAGATTTTATGTGAGATAATTATAGAACTGTAACTGTCCTAAGACCTATAAACTATCTTAGGCTTGAATGTCAGCAGTGAAACTCTGCTTTAAAGTTAATTACCCACTGATTACAGGAGTATGAGTGGCAGTCAGATGAAAAACAGTCTCATTCATTCTCAAATATTAACACTAACAAGTATCTGAGAGATAATTACTAAGACTTTCATTTATTTCCAATGTTGTATTCTTTTCTTTAATCTTTAACAATACTAGTATATAACCTATCATGCATTTTGAGCTTAATATAATGCCTAAGACCTTAATAGAAATTCTGAATTGATCACGAGGACAAACTTTGAACAGAATCTCTTTATAGTTTCCCAAAATGTGCATTTCCTCATTAATAGCATGGTCTCTTTCTCAAATTAAGTCATTAAACTTATTAACTGTTATATTTGAGAAGAACCAGATTGTTAATAGCACTCATATTAAAAAAGCACATTCACTTTTATTCATAACTAGAGGCCCGGTGCACAGATTCATACACTGGTGGGGTCCCTCAGCCTGGCCTGCAGACATCCCCAGAGGGGTCCCAGATTGTGAGGGGGCACAGGCTGGCCGAGGGACCCCACTGGTGCACTTTTGGGGCTGGGGAGGGACCGTGGGAGGGCTCCAGGGCATGTCCAACCTGTCTCATCCAGTCCCAATTGGCCAGACCCCAGCAGCAAGCTAACCTACTGGTCAGAGCATCTGCCCCCTGGTGGTTAGTGCTTGTCATAGCGACTGGTCCAATGGTGGAATGGTTGAATGGTCAAACAGTTGCTTAGGCTTTTATATATATAGATAACAATAGCAAGTCACCCTGTTCCAGTCTGGTTGTGCCATATATTGCACTTTCTTTTTCCCAGAATTTCATTTACTGAAAGTTACAAGTGTCCAAAGACTGATGTATTATTTTCTTCACAGGAGGAGGGGAGAAGCATTAGGTACTGTACCCAGCAAGTGCCCTGAGGTCAGAGTTATCAATGGAATTCCTCAAAGTGACAGAGGGCTACATGAGGGGTTCCTTGCTGATACAACCAGGTCACAGCATGAGAAGGCTTGCGGCTGTGGCTGGCTCCCTCCCCGGGGCCTGCTCTGTTTCCCACCTGAGCTTTGCTGGCGGGGCTGTGCTTCTCCTGGCTCTGCAGGACCTCAGGCTCCAGGGATTTGGATCAAGTGGTAGAGATATCGTCAGCAGAGATGGCAATTGCCAGTTTGGGCTACCTTGTGATTCAAAGCAGGTTCTGCTCCACTTTTTAGATAACAGGGGGAATACATTACTGCTGAAGACCCACAGGAACAGAATCAAGCAAGGAAACACAACCATCTGATACAGAGTCCGTGAGTAAGCAGCTCACCCATGTGCACCCTGGCAGGGATATAGCCAAGGGTAGCCCAGGGACATAAGGGGTCAGAGTGTACCGGAGGGAGGCGACAGGAGCTGCAAGAGAACGGGGACTTGGTCATTTCATTAATGATATAAAATAATTTATATCAAGCCAAAACGGGTTTGGCTCAGTGGATAGAGCGTCGGCCTGCGGACTGAAGGGTCCCAGGTTCGATCCCGGTCAAGGGCATGTGCCTGGGTTGCGGGCACATCCCCAGTGGGAGATGTGCTGGAGGCAGCTGATCGATGTTTCTCTCTCATCGATGTTTCTAACTCTCTATCTCTCTCCCTTCCTCTCTGTAAAAAATCAATAAAATATATTTAAAAAAATAATAATAATAATAATTTATATCACAAGAATTCTTATATTCTAGGTATGGCTAGCTCATCTATCAATATTTTAAGGTGCAGTTATATTCTTGGTATTTTATATACCACTCACAGAACACCAGCACTAGAATCATGAGTCTATTCCATTCCTTATGTGTTTTTTTAAATGCTTTGTTGACCTCTCTATACCTCATCATCTCCATTTTTGAAATATAATAACAGACACCTTGTAAGATTGTTGTAATGATTAACTGAGAAAATACAAAGTTCTTTTTAACATAGTATATAATTTATTATTATTATTATTAATAATTATAGGTTGGCACAGCTATAAGCTAAGTACCAAGGAAAATGAGTAGGATGTACTCCTTACATTTCTATTTCAGCACATGGTTTGCTTCTGATCTGACCAGGGACTTGACCAAGGGCACACGTCTAGTAAGGGATGGAAGCAGGCCTAAAATCCAGGCCTTCAAACTGACAGTTTTGTTTCACAGCAAGTGTTCCCAATGCAGACACAGCAAGATGCAGTAAAGCAACAAGGGGTTGGGGTGGCGGGGGGAGGGGGGGGGACAGGGAGCGGGGAACCAAAGCTGCTAAATGAATGCCTCCCTCCAGCCATTCTCAGCCCCTGAGCACAGAGCCGGGATGTCCTGGTTCTGGGTAGGACATGATGGTCTCCGGTCCCTCGCCTCTCCCTGCATCTCTTCCCTCTGAACTGCAGGAACCCTCCCTGCCTCCACGCGGCCTCTCCTGTTCTCTCTCTTCCTCCTACACTCCTGCCTCTGCAGAGGAAACCACGACCTCCAAGAGGACCTGACATCGGTGAGGACTGAGCTTGCACTCCGCCTCTTCCAGAGCAGGGCAGCAGACAGAAATGGGACAAACCTTGTCATTTCTCCATCGGTGTGGCCATCCCTCTGGAGATCTTGCAGTTTGGAGCCCAAGGGAACGCTGGCTGGCAGCTGGCGGAGGCCCTGGGTTACACTGACCACAGTAAGAAGCTGCTCACTCTCCTGCTCACTGTCCTAGCTCTCACGCTCAGGCTGCCCTGGGAGACCGGGAGCTCCCAGCTGCCAGGGGTGGGCACCTAGAGGAGGCTGCCACTTGGCAGAAATGTCAAGGAAGGCATTTAAACTTTGGGTTGTGGTTACCTTTGATGATTTTTAAGGTTCCCTTTTAACCTCAGATTCCATGGCAGTTTTTCAATTTCATTTCATAAACCCTTTTACAGTGCTGCCAGCCCATGTTCGAAGCACCCCACAAATATTATTTCATTAAACGTCACCACAACCCTATTGAGGTAGGTATTGTGTCAGCATCCTTATTTTATTTTATTTTATTTTTTAATATATTTTTATTGATTTTTTTACAGAGAGGAAGGGAGAGGGATAGAGAGTTAGAAACATCAATGAGAGAGAAACATCAACCAGCTGCCTCCTGCACACCTCCCACTGGGGACGTGCCCGCAACCAAGGTACATGCCCTTGAACGGAATCGAACCTGGAACCCTTCAGTCCGCAGGCCGACGCTCTATCCACTGAGCCAAACCGGTTTGGCAAGCGTCCTTATTTTAGAGATGAGCAAATGGGCACAGAAAGTTTAAGCAACTTGCCCAAGGTCACACAGCTAGTGAGCGGCAGAGTTAAGACTCAAACCCAGGCTGTCTGCCTCCCTAGCCCATGCCCTTGACCAAACTGCTTCTATAAATTTGTGACTTCTAGCCAGTGCCATCTCTACCCACATACTCTTATGATTGTGTAATTTAAAACAGTTCTACCAGCAGTGGCAAGATGCTCATGGATGCTCTGTTGAACACACCTGTCTATACTCAAGGCCTCTGGCTTAATGCCTGGTCTTGGTATTAACCTACCAACTCCATACTAACACACTCATCCACATAATTTTTTCTTCTCTATCTTAGAATAAGTTGTCAATAAAAAACGATGGGAGTTACAATTGTGTAAGTTAATATTTTTTAGAAAGCACAAGAACTAATACCAACACAGTCTTGGTAGGAACTTCCTTTGAGCTGGAATCTTGAGGTGGCACATAAAGGTTAGCACACAAGACATCAGGCCACGGGCACCAGCCATGCTTCCGCCCCCTCCATCCACACCCAGTCCCCTGCCAAAACAATTCTCGTGATCCTGCTGGATAAAACAAAAATGTGTTTTCTCTCGGGGGTAACTGAAAACAAATACAGGTTATTGAGCCTAATTTTTCTCAGAAAGTATATCACGAACATGGGCACATCCCTGGAGTTATTCGTCAGCCCCATAAGACAGTGCAATGCAACTCAGCAAGTACTCTTGTGCTCTTACTGTGCGGCCGGTGCTATGCCAGGAACTCAGCATCCAGATCTGTAAGGAAAACTGCGCACAAGCAGGTCTCACGGGACTGATGCCCTGATGCAGGGCAGTAGGTGTATTTATTTGAAATCAGTTAGTACAAGAGAGCAGGGGCAGGATGATTTATTCCACTGACAAATCAGGAAGGCTCCCAGAAGACGACCTCTAAGCAGGGTCATGAAGACCAAACAGAAGCATGAAAGAGGGGCAGGCATTTCAGCCTAACTCAGAACAGAGTCTCTGAGAGGCCAGGATTCAGAGAAAAGTGAAAAATGCAAGTGTTACTATCCTGCAGAGCAAGGGGACTGACCGTAGTCCATTCTCTGTTCCAGGGACAGTCACGATTCCTAGTTAACCAAATATGATCATTGGCAGGGTGTCCAGAGAGCCATCCAAGAGTTACCAATGTCCAGAATGCTTAATAATCAAACGCTGTGAAACATAATCCCACTTTTTTTCCTCTTGCTCACAAATTGCTTTATTACCTTACGGAGTCATGGTTATTATGAACGGGAATGTGCCGCTTATAGAGTTCTAGTTAATAGGATACCCCTGCAGTTTGGTTTGCCCCAAGATAGCTCGGGGAATCATGTGTGTGCTACTTAAAACAACCCACCAGTGCCCACTACTTGCCCTAGCCCTGTCTTTCTTTTCAAAGTCAATACAGACCAATAAACATGTATACAAAACAGCAGCACTAAAGAATGTTTCAGGGTGTTGGGGCATCGTTCCTGTTTAATCAGCAGAAAGATCTATCCAAGTCTGCAGCACGACACATGAGCACCGTCTTCTCTCTGGGTGCACAGCAATGAGTGGCAGCCAGGAACTTCGCCAGGATTCCCACCTGCAGGCCAGACAGGCACAGCCTGAGACTCAGAACAGACGCCAGTGATGTCGCCAAAGAGTATCTTTGTTTTCATCACATGAAATGCACGATTTCCCAATGCTCTGATTTCTAGGGATTTCCATCGCTTTTCCAGGTAAATTAATAAAGAGCGTGAGAACGCTGCTAGAAACAGAGGCCTCAGAGCCGGAGGTGGCCTGGCCCCTGGGAGAGAATTCTGTCTGATGATGTGTGTGGATTCACTTTTGCAGTTATTCTGTCATTTGATTCTCATAGAAACCACATACAATCGCTAGGCCTCCGTTTATAATCCCCACTGACAAATGAGACAAGAGGTTACTGATTTGACAAGACTCAGTACCCCTAATGGGCAAGTGGAGGAGCCAGTGTTCAAGTTTCAGATTCTCTGACCCCAAATCCTGTGTTCTTTCCACAATTCCCCAGCCCCACTCTAGGCCACTAAGTAGTTCCATAAATATATATACACCTTGCCTTCTCAGAGATGCTAGTAACCTATTACTCTCTCGGACCCACCAAACCCTTTGGATGTCATCCCAAACAACCCTCGTTTAATTTGCAGGCAATTAAACCATCAATATCACAAAGATGGTTTTGTAGTTTGAGGATGTTATGTATATTAACTTTACAAAGTCAGGACCTATCAGATGCAGTGTTACATTTAAAAAGTTCAGGTCAGCAAATGTACTAAAAAGGAAGGCCCTCTCCATGCTGGCCTGCAAATGAGGTAAAAGGCTGGTCTGCAAGACCTAGGAAAATACCATTTCTTCTATCACTTTCTTCTCACTCTGCGCCCAATCCAGGGACCCTCTCCTCAAGCTCTGCACCTTCTTCGGGACATTCCTGACCTATGGCAGCCCCCATGGTTCCCCTCTGCCTCCCTCCCAGTCAGCATTCCAATAGAGCCACTCGCCCCTGTCCAGCATGAAAGACCACTTTCTGGGAGTGAGAGGCCTGGAGGAATGAAGCCAGCAGTGACAGGGTTCTCTTCAAGGGCGGTGGGAGAGGAGCACTTACATCAATCCCTTTTGTCCCATCACCGACAAGGACCTAGGAAATGCCTGGCAATAAGGCAAAATTAGAGGCTTTGCGCTCTATGGCGCTTTGTGACCACGTTCATTTCAGGAGGAAAAGGCTCTCGGTGGCAAGGGACAGAGTGCTCCCAGCCCGCCTGTCCTTCACCTGTGGCCAGGAGGGCAGTGTAGCGCCACCTCTTACATTCCAGTGACACTGAGCAAGTTTATTCATTTGTCTGAGCCCAGCTCCCTCATCTATAAGTGGGGATCATAATAGCACTTAATTCCCAGGGTTGTTGAAAGGATTAAATGTGATCGTGGATGTAGAGCATTTGGCAGTCTGGGAACACCACCAGCCTTCACTACTTTTATTCTGGCGATGGGGAGGGACAGACTAGGCTCAGGTGGAGAAAAAAATCTCTCAAGCCAATTCATTCTGCTACTTTAATGTGTCCAGTTAAAAGAACGGTTGGTTCCTTGACCCATCCCTAGGTCACACTACAATACCAGTCACACTCCCTTCACCCCTGCAGACAGTCAACATTTCACAGGAGCATGATTCTCTAAGTACACATGATCCACTCAGTAGAGGACTATTTGATGAGTATTTTGTTCATTCATTTTTCTCACTAAAATAAAAGGCAAGCATTGGAGTTAGGCTATAATTCATCATATATAGCCTAAGTCCATTTTTAGTCCATTTTTTATAGTTGTAGATTCTGAGAAGCAGCTTGGGCAGTAAAAGTTTCATGGATGAATGAAATCTGTCCTCAACTGTGTTCTGGGTCTGGTGGCTGGGGCCCTGCAGGGGTGAATTCTGGGTGCCTGTGCCCCTCCAGAGAACTTTGGTCAAGCAAGCCGGGAGTCTGCTTCTGGTTCCTCCTGGCCTGGCCTTCGTGACATGAAGGGTTTTGGAGTGGAGGCATCCCGAGGCAAGTCAGAGATACATCCCAACCAGTGTTCTGAGAGAACGGGCAGGGGCAGGACAGTGCAGAAAGATGATACAAATCATGTCTCTCACAGGGGAGATTCGTGGACTGCCACAGGACTGTGCCTAAGAGGAAGGAGTGACGAGGGAGACAAGGAAAGGGCTATGTCCCAGAGCCAGTGGCCCAGGAAGGGCACCTGTCTGCTGGAAAAGCCCAGCCCGCATATGTCAAGAGCAGGATGTGTGGGATACTCAGCTGCGTTCTGACCCAGCAGCAGGCCAGGCCTCGGTATTGGATTATAGAGTGAAAAAGAAATCGCTGTTGCTTATGGAGGGAGATAAGGAAGCAATCTGTATAAGCAGTAAATAAATAGAAGGCCAGCTGTCATCCAAGAAGGTGGAAATGATCAACTCTCTCAAATGCTTATTTCCCCAATCTTCTTGCAGGCTCTCGCTGACATTAATAACACAAGCTGCTTGCTGGTTTTTAGGAGTGGGGGATGGGAGGCATTCTTACCTTCCTCTGTGTTTCTCCAATTGAAAATATAGTTATAATGCAGCCAGTGTCACTCAGGCTTGTGACGTGCAGTCGTTGAAATGGATTTTAGGCCCTTACCAGACATATTGACCATTTGACACCCTGGCCCCCATCTATCGCTGTTACTTGTGACTTTCCCCATAACTTGGTTGACTTTATAAATATCTGAAGCCCCATGACCCTGCATACCAGCTCTGCAGCCTTCCCAGTCCTCTCTAACACTGATCAACATTTCTGAACCACGAAGTTAGGGAAAAATAGCCTCTGGGATGTCTGTAGTTTTTCTACTCAACTTAATCACAGCCTGTTTTCTTTCAGATATAGCATGGTTTCTTTCCCCAACTTCTGTGGATCTGTAGATCCAAGCTAATTCCTGTGCAGTTTAGCTGTGACTTTACCAAACTGGCTCTTTATGGTAGATGAACCTTATGAACCAAGAGTAAAGTTGCTGGGGCCACATTCCAATGCAATGTCAGTTGTGCTAACTCCCTACTCACACCATTGTCAATTTATCCAAACAGCTTTCTCACAGACTGAACAGTGAGAGACTTCTTGCACACTGTTTATGACACACTACCCAACTCCAGCCAGGGCACCAAGAAGGGGCTGGCCTGCACCCTATTTGTGCAAACAGAGATGCCACTCTCTCCCTGCTTTGTGGAGCAGGTCTCCTGGTGGGCCAACTGCAGCCTGGAGCCAGCCAACCTCAGAGAGTCCGATAGTAGCACCATCCAGGCAGAGGCCAGGTAAGAGAAAACTGTCCACCTCAATGAGGCTAATGTCAGGTGGCTGTAAAAACAGAATGCCACCCATTACTTGTCAGAAGCCATGTGGATGGGTACTTAGGCTGCCTTCAATTGCAGTAGAAGTTTGTCCTCTTCAGAGACCCTACCCTGACTTAAAAATTCCTGTCTCAGCTCATGCTGCCATGAGGCCACGGTCATGGTTAGCTTCTCTCAACCCATGGACAAATGTCCTCTAAGCAGTTGATGCAGCCATGAAGAGCCTGGAGTCTGGGACCAAGCTTCTTGGGTTCAAATCCAAGGTTTCTATCTTGAGCAACTGGGTGGATGATGGCTTTGCCACTAATGATACATGGCTTTGGACAACTGCTCCAAGCCTTCGTGCCCCCATTTGTAAAATTGGGAATAACAATAGAATTGGTGGAGAAGTTGGTGAGGGTTAGTTAAAGCATTTAGAACAGAGCCTAGCACAAAGTATGCATTTATTAAATAAACTAGAGGCCCGGTGCTTGGATTCGTGCACCAATGGGGTCCCTTGGCCTGGCCTGTGGGGATTGGGCTGAAACTGGCTCTCCAACATCCCCTGAGGGGTCCCAGATTGTGGGAGGGCATAGGCCACGCCAAGAGACTCCACCAGTGCATGATCGGGGCCACGGAAGGACTGTAAGAGGGCTCCAGGGTGTGTCTGGCCCATCTAGCCCAGTTCCGATGGTCCGGACCCCAGCAGCAAGCTAACCTACCAATTGGAGCATCTGCCCCCTGGTGGTCAGTGCGCATCATAGCGACTGGCCCAATGGTCAAACAAAGGGTTGGACACTTAGCATATTAGGATTTTATTATATAGGATAAAGGGCTGAGCAAAAATCATCCCCTGATGGGTGACCAGCCTGCTCCTCTTTCTGGCGAGGTTTAAATTTGAGGATCGCTCCCTGGAAGTTGTTGTCTAAGCAAAAGCTCTGCCAGGCTGGGGCCCAGCTGTTGGAGAGATGGGGGTGGGCTGGGTTGGGGTAACATTGAGCAGCATCTCTCAGCACAGCACTCAGTCCCCCTTGTGGGGCTTCCTGAGCAGTGCATGCCTAACACTTCCTGGGAAACAGCCCCAGATGGAGCAACCCAACCTGTTCAGAAAGGAATTAAATATTGGTCTCCAGCTATAGCTAGTCCTAAACACAATTGTGCAGCTAATAGGCACTAATAAGCATGTTACAAACCCAACTTCAGCGATGCCTCAGCACCCTCCAGCGTGTACACTGGTATCAGCCAAACAGGTGCTCTCATGCTTGCAGATGTGGGGCCAAAGCAGTGCAGCATTTCTCAGCTGGCGCCTGTAAGCATGTCTTTCCAAAGCACTTGGTGGCAGAGAGCCCCCTCCTCAGCTCCTGCCTTTCACCTGTGCACAGGGCCTCGTCCTCCAGGTCTCTATGATGTACCAAATGGCTGCGGTCGACTATGGTGAGTTCCTTCCCAGTCAGCCAGGTGTCTAAAGTGAGAGGAACCTGGAGCAATGCAGCATGGAGAGGAGGCCAGGTGTCTGCTCTGAAAGGGGCGGGCTGAGTTCCTCTGAGGTTGCCTCTGTGTGCGGTGTGTGGAGTGAGGAATGATCAGGGTACCAGGAAACTCAGCGAGGACAGTGAAGAAGCAGATGGGGAAGAGGAGCCCATTTCATGCTTGACATTTCCCTCTGCACTTTGTAAATGGACCAGTTAGTGTGAAACCAAAAAATGTTTGGACCAAACCCCTGCCCTGGAAGGTATTCCCTTAAAATGAATATTGCTTCACCGTTTGGTGCTGAGAAAGGATGGAAGATTGAGAGTTGTGTCTAAAAGGCTCTCAAGAGCATGTCCACACTGAAAACCATGGTCCTGAAATACCACCATTCGGCCTGCCCCCCCTGCCTGATGGCCACTCCTGTCAGCAAGTGCTGGGCAACCCCCCATCCTGGCACACTGCTGTGTGGTGTGGACACTTTAGTGAGACCCTAGGAGGCAAAGGAGAAAGGGACCACACCACCCTGCCCCACACTCCTCCTTCCCCCTCATTGGCAGGCTCAGTCCCCTCTGGCTTGTGGGACCAATGATGCTCTCATCCAGAAAAAAGTCAATGCGATTTAAATGGGTGTTTTAGGAACTTTGGCACTGAGGAAGCTTGCTATTCCTCCTGCTTTGATTCCATGCAGGACATATTATGAGTGCTTAGTGAATTTACTTGTTTATTTGACCAGTAATTATTACTAGCAGTCAAGTAATTTGGGCCCAGAACACCATCTACTGGATAAGTAAATATACTTTTACAATGTGCTCTAGTTCTCATTCCTGACACCTGCCCACTGCTGCTATGACCAGCCGGAGGAGCTGTCAGCTGCATGATGGCTGGTGGGTGGGGATGCTCTTGTTTCTCCTAGCGTGCCCTGCACAGTACCTGGCACAAAATAGAGGCTGAAGTAAGGAGTATGACCCATGTCCCTGTCTTTCCCCACTGAGCCTAAGAGTTTGCCTTAGTGGCCAGCCAGCCCTGCTGTCCCCCAACACGAGGGCCCAGGCCTCCCTATCCTGATGCCAGCTCTCCCTGGCCTGCCTGGATTGCTCCATGTTACCTGCCCTACTTGTCCCATCGCTGTGTCTGGACGCTGCCTCTGCATTCACCAGCAACCCTTGCTGAGTCTCCCTGTCCCTGGCTATCTGTGTCTGCTGCCACCTGTCCCATCATGGGCTGCTGAAAACATTCTCTGCCTAAGGGTTTGGACTTGTCCTTGACCAGTCATTGCTGTTGCCCACAAGCTCCCAGCTGCCTAACCTGAGACTTATTTGTTTATGTCACAGGGTACAAATTATCTGCCCCCAGGTCAAATCCTGCCTGCTGGATTGTTGTGTTAAAAATTAGAAAATTTCGTATGACATCTGGGGTTATAGCTTTCGTTCAAAGAAAGGAAGATCTGGCACAAAAAGCCTAGGTCCTCACATGGACGTAATAAGCCAAGATTATAATGGCTGCCCCTTTAAAACAGGGCCTATAGCTTTCTCACACATCATAGTCCCCACCAGGCCCAACCACTGCAGGCCCTGTGATGTAAGCCTGGTGAGGGTATCTTAGAGATTCTAGATTTTAGGATCAGAAAAGGTAACCATAGCCCCAATAGTCTTTGGCCTCAAACTGCTTCCTGAGAGTGAGGTGGACACCCTGTTAATAAAATATGTTCTTTCCACTTCTGTGAGTTGGCCCTTCCCAGGGTCTGGCACTATTTGGTTCCCTGGCTACTGGGGCAGATCTAAACCCCCGTCCACTGAACTTCCAGGCCAGTTCAGGACCCTGTGGGCCATCAGGTGGGAGTGCTGGGGCTGCCTTACCTGGGAAGTGCAGGGAGTCTACTCCTGGTGTTGCCATGTGACACAGACACCCCACTGAGCCACACTGAGGCACACCTCACAGCCAGCATTATCCACGTCTGGACCTCTAGTCTGAGGAGAGCCAGGATGGAAGTGTTCCTGCCCAGGTAAGCAGCTGTGTTATTGTTGTAGGGGGCTCTGCAGCCTGATCCAATTGGTCAGGCTTGGATTAGAGAACCCAGGTGGTCTCACTCGAGGGTGTATCCTTAAACATTTGGCCAACTTGTCTAATGTACCCCTAGAGGTTAGGCTAAGGAGGAGTCACCCTAGAGTTTGGGTCTATTTCAGAGTCATTGCTGACTAGCTCATAACACAGGCTGAAAGGAACTACTTTCCTGGGGTCTTCTCAAGAAGAGCTGCCATACCTTCATAGGGCAAGACTGGAGCCCCCAGACCCTCACTCCAGCTTCATGCCACAGTTGGTTTTCTGGGCAGGGAAAGAAGGTCAGTGCAATTACATTGCAAGCACGTATCCTAAATCTTATCACATCCTAAGAGTACACAGCTGTAATTTTTCCAAAACAAAAGGGGTAAGATAGCTTATGTAACTGAAATACAGATATAATTCTAATCAGCAGGCAAATTAAGGCATAAAAATTTAAGACTAAGGTTTCTTTCTTTCATCTCTAAGTAAACTGAGGTGAGCCTTTCTTGAAGAAAACCATATAGGTAAAAATGCAAACTGTTAAAAAGTTAAGTGATAGTGCTAGATTTTGCTTTTCTAAAGCAAAACCTATTTGTAAAACTTATTCTTGTAAAGCAAAAGATTCCTCATTCAGCATCTTTAAATGATAAACTTCTCCATTATATTTGAAATCAGAGTAAATTTATAATGAGTTTGAAGATCAGCATGAAGTGAAGCCTGTTGTCTGAGGGTTCATTTTCAGCACGTGGATTCTTCATGCTCCTTCCCACTGGCCACTTGGGCCTCCTCTACGGACCAGGCACTCAGCCATGCTGAGCCAGAGGCCGTGGCCGTGCTCCCTTGAGGAGTTAAAAATAAGTTAAAAAAAAAAAAGTCCAGGCACTGGCATAAAAACACCCAAAGAGAGACCCAGTAAGTTAAAGACCAAAGTCTAAAGTGGTATCTGGCATAGCGAGGGCAGAAGAGCTACCATACCTTCACTGGGCCAGACTGAAGACTTAAGATAAAGCCTATCTCTCCAAACCAAATATTTGGATCCCAAATCAAAACACAAAGACTGGGTATTTCCACAGATCTCTCTGGCATACAGCAAAAGCAATGCTAATCTTGTTGTTATCCTATCTAATAAAAGAGAAACATGGTAATTAGCATACGTCTGCTACCCTTCCCATTGGCTAATCAGCGAGATATGCAAATTAACTGCCAGCCAAGATGGCGGCCAGCAGCCAGGCAGCTTGAAACTAACATGAGGCTTGCTTGCTTCAGTGACGGAGGAAACCAACATTCCCCGCCTGCCTTGCCGGCCTCTGAACTTGCAGTTTGAAACATTGTTACAAATATAGAAGCTAAACAAAACCCCAGAAACCTGCTTTCAGCCCGCCGGGCTGGAGTTGATACAGTGTTTCAATAATAGAACCCAAACAAATCAGATACCTGCTTTCAGCAGCAGAGGCCTCAGAGCTGGAGCCAGAGATAAAGCTGGCCTAGAATAAAAAAAGAAAAAGAAAAAAAGGAGCAGTTGGGAGCTTCAGTCACCCATCAGCCTGAAAACAGCCCTCAGCCCCTCACCCAGACGGGCAAGGCACCCCAGTGGGGAACCCCACCCTGAAGGGTGTGTGACCAGCTGCAAACAGCCATCATCCCCTCACCCAGGCTGGCCAGGCACCCCAGTGGGGACCCCCACCCTGATCCAGGACACCCTTCAGGGCAAACCAGCTGGCCCCCACCCGTGCACCAGGCCTCTATCCTACATAGTAAAAGGGTAATATGCCTCCCAGCACCGGGATCAGCGGAGCCGCGAGGCCTCCCAGCACTGGGATCAGCGGAGCTGAGAGGCCTCCTGGCACCAGGATCAGTGTGACAGGGGGCAGCGCCCAAACCCCCTGATTGCCCTGCGGTTTTGTGTGTGACAGGGGGCGGGGTCACAACCTCCCTATCCGCCCTGCTCTGTTCATGACAGGGGAAGGCGCCCCAACCCCTTTATCAGCCCTGCTCTGTGCCTGATGGGGGGAGCTCCCCAACCCCCTGATCACCCTGCGGCTCTGTATGTGACAGGGTGCGGCGCCCCAACCCCCCCCTGATCAGCCCTGCTCTGTGTGTGACAGCGGGCAGTGCCCTAACCCCCCCCCCCATGGGCCCTGCTCTGTGTGTGATGGGGGAGAGCCATAACCTCCCCATCGGCCCTGCCCTGAGTGTGACAGTGGCGGCGCCCCAACCCCCTGATCGGCCCTGCTCTGTGCGTGACAGGGGGAAGCGCCCCAACCCCCTGATTGGCCCTGCTCTGTGTGTGACAGGGGGTGGCGCCGCAATCTCCCCGTCAACCCTGCCTTGAGTGTGACAGGGGGCGGTGCCCCAACCCCCCAATTGGCCCTACCCTGAGTGTGACTGAGGGTGGCATCGCAACCTCCCAATTCCCCCTGCTCTGTGCATGACAGGGGGTGGCCCCCCAACTCCCTAATTGGACCTGCTCAGAGCCAACCAGGGGCTGCACCTAAGGATTGGGCCTGCCCTCTGCCACCCAGGAGCAGGCCTAAGCCAGCAGGTCATTATCTCCCGAGGGGTCCCAGACTGTGAGAGGGCACAGGCGGGGCTGCGGGACCTTCCCTCCCCACCGATTGCACAAATTTTTGTGCACCAGGCCTCTAGTATTTAATAAAAGCTCAGTGAAGGAAGAGGAGCTTTCCATGTTAAGAGTAGAAAGAAGAGAAACTAAGATGGCGGCATAGATAAACACCGGGAAATTGCTGCCTCCCACAACAACTTCAAAAATACAACAAAAAGACAAAACGGACATCATCCAGAACTACAGTAAGGCTGGCTGAGTGGAAATTCTACAACTAGAAGGAAAGAAAAGCACACTGAGTCTCAGAGGAGCTGTGGAAGTAAAGTGCAGAGGTACGGAGGCTCGCGCGTGCGGAAAGGGGCTGGCACCTGAGGACGCGGCTGTCTTTTTGAATCGGGAGGGAGTCACAAGCTCCCGACTGCTCTGAACTCTGGTTCCAGGAAGTTTCTGGGGACCCAGGACTCATACGGGGAGAAACTGGACTGTCTGGCAGCAGGCAGAACTCGGAACTTGAGGGCGGCTTTCTCTCAGAGGTGCTTGCAGAAATTACCGGGACACTGAGATGCGCGGCCCCTTAGGGCAGGGCTGATAATCCGCCATAGCTGCTTGCTCCGCCCTTTGATTCCCTGAGACCCCGCCCCACCCAGGCTGCAGCAGAGGCTTTTGCATATGAATGCCCTGGCCCTTTGCAACCAGAAAATTACCTAACTGCAGCTGGGCCAGACAGACCCAGAACTTCCAAGAGAAGGCCCAAGGCCCCACAGCGGCTTGCATTGCTTCACAGCTGGACCTCATCAGGGAACCTCCAAACTCCAAAAAAGGAAGGGAAATCTGCAGTTCTCTTCATGGCTCCTGCTGTGTAACCTCAGGCAGAGGCTAAATTAGCACCTCCTTAGATCCAAGAGCCAGTGTACCCAGTGGTCAGAGGGGGACCATCCAGATTACAACTCCTCAGATCCATAAGGGACACACTCAGGGCACAGACTCAGTGAGCACCAAAACCCCACTGAAGCAAGTCTTGCCCCAGAAGGGTGTCTTCAGCACAGAAGTTCTCCCACTGCAGACACAGCTGATTCTCACTGCCAATTGGCCTGGAGGTCAATTCCTCCCAGTGATCCTACAACAATCAAGGCATAACTACAATAAGACTGTGCAAAAAGCCCACAAGGGGGTACACCAAGAGTGTCCACCTCAGGTAACTGGGGAGGCTGAGCCACTGGGCCCTACAGGACACCTAGCACACAAAACCACTCTACCAACACAGGGAAGTATAAAAAATGCGGAGACAAAGAAACAGGTCACAAATGACAGAAATGGAGGAAAGCAAATGACTGGATATAGAGTTCAAGGCCACGTTTATAAGGTTTTTCAAGAATTTTATGGAAACCGCCGATAAATTTAGTGAGACCCTGGAGGATATGAAAAAAGACCAACTAGAAATTAAGCATACACTGACTGAAATAAAGAATAATATACAGAGATCCAACAGCAGACAAGAGGATCCCAAGAATCAAGTCAAAGATTTGAAATACAAAGAAACAAAAAATACCCAACCGAAAATGAAAAAAGAAAAAAGATTCCAAAAATATGAAGATAGTGTAAGGAGCCTCTGGGACAACTTCAAGCGTACCAACATCAGAATTATAGGGGTACCAGAAGAAGAGAGAGAGCAAGATATTGAAAACCTATTTGAAGAAATAATGACAGAAAACTTCCCCTACCTGGTCAAAGAAATAGACTTACAAGTCCAGGAAGCGCAGAGAACCCCAAACAAAAGGAACCCAAAGAGGACCACACCAAGACACATCATCATTAAAATGCCAAGAGCAAAAGACAAAGAGAGAGTCTTAAAAGCAGCAAGAGAAAGACAGTCAGTTACCTACAAGGGAGTACCCATACGACTGTCAGCTGATTTCTCAACAGAAACCATGCAAGCTAGAAGAGAGTGGCAAGAAATATTCAAAGTGATGAATGCCAAGAACCTACAACCAAGATTACTTTATCCAGCAAAGCTATCATTCAGAATAGAAGGTCAGATAAAGAGCTTCACAGATAAGAAAAAGCTAAAGGAGTTCATCACCACCAAACCAGCATTATATGAAATGCTGAAAGGTCTTCTTTAAGAAGAGGAAGAAGAAAAAGGAACTCTTACCATTTGCTACAGCATGGATGGAACTGGAGAGCGGATAAATACCACATGATCTCACTCATTTGTGGAATATAATGAACAACATAAACTGATGAACAAGGACTGATCCAGAGACGGAGAGGCATTGAATGGACTGTCAGGCCTTGGAGGGAAGGTAGGAGATGGTGGGGGTAAGGGGGAAAGATCAACCAAAGGACTTATATGCAAGGATATAGGCCTAACCAATGGACACGGACAACCAGGGGGGGGG